GCTTTGATACCAGTCGTTTTACACGTAAATCGCTGTTGATCTCGAAGTTACGGACGATCAGCGATAGATGGATAGTCGAGTGATGGGATAGATGGCAATTAAGAGGGAATTATGTCCTGGGAAAGAGATTTTGCGGCCTTCATAGTATCTTCTTCCAAGACATTTGCTCCCGTATTCTTAAAGTTCTGTTAAATTTGTCGTTTTGGCGTCGAGGGATCGATACTCTTTTCTTAGCGATGCACAAAGTTTCCCCTCGATGATGTGGAGCGGGGAACATTGAAGAAGAACGTACGACATTGTTCGGACACCGGGCTACGAGAGGACGGAATTGTTACCGAGGTTTGCAGCGTCATATGTAACGTGCCTCGGGCTAAATATTGATTTCTGTTTTAACTCGCAAGTATACGTAAAAGACTCTTTCTTATTGTAAACAATTGCGCAGAACGTTTTACAAATTGTAAAGGTAACATCATGTTCTAATATTCTGGTAATCAGTAAAATAAAATTAATTATAAGGGAATTTTATATATATAAAATAATTATATATAATCATGTATTATGTAACATTATTGTAATATAATAATTATATATAATCATGTATTATGTAACATTACTGCTAATTATAAACGAAAGATTACAATTAGTAAAGTAAAAAAATTATTATCATCGTTGTCTCAATAATGTAATAATGTATTAATAATCGTTAATTTCTTAATTATAATAAGAAATATATCAAATACAATTAGTCAGATGCACTTATATTTGCGTTTGCTTTTACTTGATTGGCACTGCTGAATATTAAAGGGGCAATCATAACTAAAGTTCTGATTTATTCCGTTTTTTGAAGATATGAACATGAAATGTTTATCTGTGAAATGTTCATATTCACTTTCAGAAAAAACGTTTACACGTATAATTAGCATATCCGTTTATTAAAAATGTTTTTCCGAATATATGTGTTTTAAGTCAGGGCTTGATATTATATAATATATTGTATTTAAACGAGAAATACATTTAGCACATTCTTCTTGAAAACCGTTTTGTCGAATATTACAACGTTTTTTTTTATAAAATTAAAAATCGATTTTATTTTTAATATTTTTTTTTATAGTTTAACATTTTAAAGTGCACTTTAAAGCCGTTGTATACAAGTCAATGTACACAAGATGTAAAGATTTATTCGTAGAATTAGCATATTAATTTATTAGAAATGTTTGTCCGAATATACTGTTTTAATGTTATTTTATATACATATTTTTTTTCATTTTTATTATACTTAAACATTTTTTTACACTTGAAAAAAAATTTTCTATTTTTTTAACCCATCACACTAGGATGACTTTATAATAAAGGGAAAATGTTTATTATAAAAACGTGAAAATATTTGAAAAAACATTTTTTATAGATATGTGTGCTAAATATACACGTAAATGTTTATTTTTTTAACGTATAATAATAGCCCTACTTAAAATACGTGTATTCCGAAAAATGTTTCTATTATAATAAACGGATATGCTAATTATACGTGTAAACGTGTTTTCAAGCCCTAATAGTAACCTAATTTCAACTAAATAACATTAATGTACGTACTTAGTATATAATTAATTAATTTTGAGGCAAATTTAATGTATTTTCTTGAATTAATTTGTTAATTTGTTTAATTATTATTTTAACAATATATTGTGTTAACAATATATTGAGAAATATATTGAGTGGCAGTCTATAGAAATGATTAAAAATAACTCAAATGGAATATAATTTAAGATTACAAATGTAACAATGTAGTGTTTTCAGCTTTCGTTAAACAATGAGAATTTCTTGAACGCGTTCGTTAAACGATTATGCCATCGCGACGCGACACACATATAAAATACAGCGGGAAATCTTGTAGGAAATAGATATTTTCATGTCGATACAGACGAATACAAATAGTAACGTGCGCGACACAAAAAAAATGTGCAAGACAAATTTTTTAAATGTATGTTTTACGTCGGTCGTACAATCTTTTCGCACATTTAATCCGGGCAATCCAATCACTAACAAGTTATATAGACTAACAAGTTACGACCACCGGTGGCGGACGAGCGGTAACGGAAATTGGGCAGGAAACCTCGATGGGATAAATTTGCGCATCACCTTGTGTACTACGTAATGGAGGGATTATCCCCCGCAAACACACGTGATTGACTAATTTTCATTATTTGGATCGATACGCACGTATACGTAAGCACCGTTATAATTTTGATGATTATCGGGATTTATCTGTGTACATCAAAAGGGAATATTTTCTTGTTTGATTTCAAGTAAACATTGTACTTACAAATTCGATTTGTTGAGTTTACTACTTGCTGCAGAAGCTCGCTTTAATTTATGCAGTATAATTGCGATCAAATAAATACAGCAAATATCAATATACGGTTTAATAATCTTTATGGGCAAAATATTATATATATAATGCTGTAAATTTTCTGAAAAATATAATTTGGTTCTTAATAAATTAATGTAACCGTTAATCTTTAAATAGGATGACGTGATTCAAATCTGTGGCAGGAAATGCAGGAATACATGCAATACTTTTCAATAAAATTAAACAATCCTTTTCCATCGTTTTGAGTCACGGTGAGAAAAAAAAGATGAAATACAAATTCAATGTAACTTTACAAAAAAAAAAAACGATTGTAAAGTGACGTTCAGAAATATTTTAAAGCATGGAGTCTTTTAAATTCTACCAAGTTTTTCTTAACGGTACTTTTACTTCGACCGACCTCATTTTTGCGATTCAAAATAATATTTTGATGAGAAGTGCATCATTTAATAGAAGAAATATACATAAAATATTTTTCTACCGCAAACGACTTACACTATTTTAATAAATTTTTAAATTAACATTGAATTGATTTCTCATTGAACGAGAAGATTAAATACATCATCTAATCCCTCAAAGAGTTAATTGACTTTGGGATGAGGTAGATCAAGTGGACAACGCGTAGCCCCATTAGCATAATTTATGTTAAAAGGTAGATTATCTACGCATTGCTCCTCTTTTACGTAATTTATATTCACAACGCTGAATTAATTAAGACGCTATTTTAGTAAAGGGACGATATTTCTCTTTAAAAAATTTTCTCTGCGGCGTATAAATCGTAAAGTGCAGACACATTCTCTTGCACAATTCTCGTGAATACATCGTCGCCATTATATATCTTGCATCTATTTCTGAAGTTTAATAACGATAGAGTCATTTGGATCGGAAAAGCAAATTTATACGGATGGAAGTTGAGACCGTCGCGAGATATTTGAGCTTTTTGAAGATCAATTTGATTCTGCGGTTTTGGTCGATATAGTGAAAAAAGAGAAACGTATTACACGTTTATTCGCAATACGGCAGCTGCGCAACGCAATATATCTGCTATATATATATACATATACATACTTTACAATAAAAAGAGCAAAAAATAAACTATTATTATTACGCGATTCTGATGGCCATATCGTTTAGTTATAATCGAAAAACTTTACTCGTTATCGCGAACCGGGAATCCCATAATCGTTTTTATTTGCAAATTTTCGATCTTTTGTTTTTTTTTTCTCTTTAACCAGACCTAGTAACCCATCTCTTCGCGAATACCTGTCATTAATATTAAATATGAATAACTTATGCGCATATATGAGTATAACACATAAAAAGGATTACATCAAACGTCATTCTGCTATCCTCAACGAATGCTTTATATGCATGATATTGTAATGATATTGTAATAAATGAAAATTCCTTTTTCTTAAATATAATTTTTAAAAAATTTTAAAACACATGAAACGATAACATAAATTATCGCACGAGTATTGTTTTATCATGTTAATAAATGTTGACAACGTAATTTATAATCTAATATAACTGAACCTCCCCCCTCCGTTTTAAATTATAAAGTATCTTTAATAATCATAAATAATGCACGCATAAAATCAGCACGTTCTGCCGTAGTTCAAATATAATAGATTTCCCACAGCTCGATCGTAATAGTCACATTTATTTGATTGTAATAGTCAAAATTAATTGCCCCTCGAGATATTAACTATGTACTATTGATTCTGTTGCAAATTCGAATGGAAAATCAGTGCTTTATCATTTTCACAAATGTCACAACTGTATTTAAATGCATTAAATCGAAACACTTGATCTGCTTTTGATATTTAATGAAATGTCTTCGCACCTTGTCTTTGAGCGATAATTAATCTCATTCTTAGTTCACGAGCGCAGAACTCGATAGGATTAAGTCAAGAGTAATAACAGCTCATAAACGGCTTCCATTAGCCGTTGCCAGATGCATGATATGCATTTACATGTGTATATCACTCTTCAGTCATAATTTCCATAAATATGTATTTCCTAACAAGTTTAATAAACATATTTGCAACATATAGATAATAGCCAAATCGGTATTAAATCCAAAATTCTGTTCCTGATGAATGAATTTAATATCATTCATCAGATGATATCTTGACGAGATGCGATAGGATTAATCTAATATGTTTCTATAATTTATAAGTACTCGACTGATTTTTATCATCTAATCGTAATACTTCAAAAACGAACCATATCGATTCTTGCAACTTTTATAAATTCATTTACAAGATATTTAAAAAAATAATTTATAATCAGAAAATATTTATTTACGATAATAATGACTTTATTATTAGGTACTCATCATGTAGTATCCCAAGACATGTAATATTATCGACAGAATTAAAGGAAAATTACGAGCTTTTATTACAGATTGCGAGGTTTCAAATATATGTGTCGATATCAATCGTTAACTTTGATAATAAATTACTTCCATAAATTCATGTACAATAGATTCGATAAAGGCGCCTCTAATATCGAGACAATGTCCGAAGAGATTCATTGTTCTCCGCCGCGTAACATCTCGGGGCGCGACAGGACAAGATTAACCCGAAATTATTGGCAGCCCATAATTACCAGCTTTCATTACTTGTTACAGATCATGACGCTGCAAACACGCACGACCTTTTCGCCTGCCAATCATCGCGCCTCCTACGTCATAATCGCTTCAGATGCAATATAGCCTCGTCGGTGGATTTCATGAGGCTACAGGTGCATCGAACTAACTCGCCCTAATTCACCCAATTTGGCATCGTCAACCAGGCCTGATAACCCGCGGCGAAATGCGAGGACCGACATTTGACGCGCGTTATCGAGCTGGATGTCGCGTCGCACGATCAGCGACGATTCGGTCACATCGGGGTGAGGTGGCGGCCGAACGGCCGGCACCGGACGGACTTTCAAATTGGGACGAATAAGCTGCGCCGACGATCGAACGCGGACACTCGCCCCTTGAAGTGGCTCACCCTTCCAAGGGAGTCATCCCGAAAAACAACGACCTCGATCCTCGCTCTCGCGCCGCCATCGTTACGGCGGGATCGATATATTCTGCAGATAGACGTTTCCGGAACGCCGATCCCATGCATATGTATATATAGCAACGCATTAAAGTGTGCGAGAGATCAGAGTCAAGGTCGAATCGGCCATCCCGCTCCGCCAGACCGATATTTGAATCATGGACAGACGTAGCCGGAAATAGCACGCTCGATATCGTCTTCTGGTATATGTTGCTTCTGGGTAAAGCGAGCGTATGTTATTGTCTCTGATTGGCAGTAACCAAGAGCTAACAAAGATCGAGCTTTAGCTTCAACTACTCTATCTCTTATATGAAATTTGAGACAGATATATTGCGAATGTGACTGTAATGTGAACATCGTGTAGACAACGATCTTTTTGGAGGAATGGAAATAATGAAAATGGAATTTGGTTTACGATTTATATAAGTGAACGCGATTGTGAAGTATAATTTAATGGTCGACCGTCTGGCATGTAAATGTGAACGTTTCTGTGAACAGAAACTATCTATATATGGAAGTATCAGAGATAAAATCGCATTTATGAGTGAAAATGATATAGAAAGTAATCGGTGAGAATTTAAAATTTGCTAAATGAGTAAATTCAACGAGCACAAAAGACCGCTGTAACCGCGAAAATGTTTCTATTCATTAAACTTTAAAACAGTGAAAGAAAATACGTTTTGAAATTTGGATTATTCACCACGCTCAATCAATATAGTTCCATAAATGTTTGATTATCTCTGTAATAATGGAAAATTAAAATGTATTATGGATTATCGGCCTCTGCGAACGTTTTTTTTAAATAGAATAAAGAGAAATATTTAATATCGCAAATTGACAATATTGAAAGTCACGACAAAACCTTGAACAAAAATCGCGGATGGAAATAGTGGTGCAACTGTTGCTGCCATAAATTAGGTCAATGTTTCAGAATCTCTTGTTCAATCTCCGCGTGCAAGCTCCGCTAACGCGGCTTTAAACTCAACGTGACTAAAAACTGACGTGACACAGTGTTTTTCCCTGCGGCGACGGTGCGACAAAATGTGTAAGCGCGAAAGTGGTTTGCACGATATCCATTTTGAGAGAAATCGTTTTAACCATTTTACGCGAAGGGACGTTTTATTAAGAAAGAGGCGTGACGTGAGGACGTCGTCATGTAAAAGCAGAAGTTCTCAAGATGTCAACCCTAAGAATCGACTGTTCCGCCACGTGTAGTGCTTTGCAGGTATGTGAACTTGCGTTTTGTTCCGAAATAAAATTCACCAGCAACTCAGAATACGGATTTTTCAAGAGAACATAAAGCACCTTAGAAAGCTGAAACTTTTAGAAGAAAATACAAGTTACAAGAAACAGTAGCAAAATGTACACAAACATCAGCGCCAATTCTTAATTTTTCTACATGTTTTTTCTATTCTAAATGATTCTAACTATCGTTTGTGAAGTCTTTTAAGTTTTAATTATAAACTTTTGCGTATTAAAAATTATATGTAACCATTAAATTGTAGCGTCTTCTATCAATATAATATTGATGCTACTAAATTGTTATTTTAGCGATATATCAATACTATAAATCTAAAGTTACATAGGACTATATAACTTGACCCGTTTTCTGATTGTAATATACGACGCCATTACGACTATCGGCGAACCTTGTTTGTTCTTGCCTCTTTGATAACATTCGGGACTAATATTCTATAGGATTAGAGTCTCTTCTCAGAAAAGCTACAGCGTATAAAGAAGGAAAATGGACAGAATTCATTAATATCTTTGAGACAAAGATTTAAAAGTAAGGAAAAACTTAAGAATAATAATGCAAAAATAAATATATCGATAAAAAAATAAACGACAGGTTAATGCCTGATGTAAATTTAACTTTAGCTTTAATACTTTAAAACTCTTCGATCATCTCTGACGTTTTCCTAGAAATTTTTCTATGAAGAAATTACACGCAGGAAATTTTATTCGTAAAAAGTAAAAATTTGCGTCAACGGAAACGAACCATGTTCGACTCAACAATTTATTTCCGAATCATCGGTAAGTTGCGCGACAGTGACGTTAAATTTCTCAAGTCCGCTAATTTAGCGTACTCTATGCCACAGATTCATCACCTGTTGATCCCATTCTTTCTGTATTTGACGCGAATTGGATGGGATTTAATGTGCCAACCTACCGTCAATCTTGGGAATTTACGATCCGACAGGAATTAAATGATCGAGCAGTGCAAACGTTGCTTTAGGCGAGCGTTACTATATCGCTTTGATCAAAAGTACGCTATATTTTTAAAAAATTGAATTTCTCTTGTAAAGATCTCGTGTATAAGCAATGGTGATATTTCTAAAAATAAACTTAAAAGATTAAAACGTCGTTAGAAAGACTCGTTAGAAAGAATAAGACATGAAAAAGAAAAATTATGGAATATCTGTAGTGAAATACAAATTGAAATAATATGTTAAAATTTCATTTAAAAATAATAATTAATATTAATTACTATATACAATAAGACAGGAAACAAGACCGTTTATATTAAATAACATTACAATCCGAAGCGCCACTACGGTCTAAGTATTAAGAAAAAATATTGCCTCGGTCGGGAGTCGAACCCGTATCTCTTGCATTCCGTAC